ATCCGGTCCGGGACCAGGTCCACGATCTCCTTGCCGATGGTGTAGTGGCCTCTGGCGTAATTATTGGCCGCGTCCTCCTTCCCGGTGATCAGCTGCTCCGGGTGGAAGAGCTGCCTGTAGGTCCCTGTGCGCACCTCATCTGCAAAGACAGCGCGTGCCGTGAGCCCGGGAGGCCTGCTGTCCTCACCCAGGGGACACGTTCGGGGACGGCGGGATTCTACCACGCCCGTGCTGCTGCTTGTAGGTCACAGGCCCTGTGGGCGGCCCCTCAGCACCCTGGTTACGAGAGCCCGACCACGTGGATGGCTGGGTCCCAGCAGCTGTAAAAGCACACGGGATGCGTGTGCAAGGCCACCCAGAATCCTGACAGGAAGGAGGAATGAGAGAAAAAGGCTGCAGTGAAATCGCGCCCCAGTGGGAGGGGCTTAGACTGCCCGTGTCTGTCAAGTGTAATACCCTCTGCCAATCAGGGCGAGCGCTGGCCCAACAGCACGGCAGCTAAGCCCTGTGCAGGGAGCTGGTCCCACCTGGCTGACCACGGTTCGAATCCCAGCCCCTGAAAAACACCCTGGATGTGTAAGCATGTCTGTGCGTGCATGTGTGTGTGTGTGTGTGTGTGTATGCCAAGTCCTGGCAGAAAAGAGAAACAGGAAAAAAGACTATAGTATGACCGCGCCCACTGGGAAGAGCTTTCTCTCTCTCTCTCTCTCTCTGGCAAGGACACGCGCCCTTCTGGCTATTAAAAAAAAAAACTTAAAAATGAAACTCTGTGTGTGACTCACAGACCTCAAGTGCAGTTTTTGGCTCCAGGAAGGTAAAGCAAACTCACGGCACCAACGCCGCCCTGACCAGTTCCCAGGGAAGGACCTGGTTCTCCCCCACACAGGGCACTTATGGGCACGTATTTCCTTCCTACCTGCAGTGACATCAAGGGGTGGAATTAAAACCCCTCAAACTGCAGCCCCAGGTCAGCGAGGCCCCGTCAGGGCAGTCTGTCGGGCGCCCTCTGGGCCTGGGCCTCCCAGGCTGTAGCGGACTCTGCCGTGTCCGGGCCTAGAACAGCTCTCTGCAGCTCTCCTTGATCTACCCGGGGCCTCACGTCAGAGGAGCCGGCGCACGTCCTTCCCCACCTTTAGGTCTAAGACGAGGTGGACCCCGTGCAGGGCGTGAGCGCACACAGCTCCCGGGAACCAAGGCCGAGCCCGGGCCGGGCCGAGGGCGCGGCCGCCACCTTCCTGCCCGCAGAGCAGCTGTCCCTACAGGCCGGTTTTCCTAAACGGGCACCTGAGCCCCAGTCAGGCCCTCCGGTGTCCCCTGACAGTGTCGCGAGCACCCTCACGTCCTGCCCTCTCCTCGCAGGGTTCTTGGAGGCCTCACCGAAGTCCTCCCTCCTCCCAGAAGGCCGCCGCCCAGCGCCGGGCCCTACCGACCACGGTGGGCTCCAGGTCCACGAACACCGCCCTGGGCACGTGCTTGCCGGCCCCCGTCTCGCTGAAGAACGTGTTGAACGAGTCGTCCCCGCCGCCGATGGTTTTGTCACTCGGCATCTGGCCATCGGGCTGGATTCCGTGTTCAAGGCAGTACAGCTCCCAGCAGGCATTGCCGATCTGGACACCCGCCTGCCCCACGTGGATGGAGATGCACTCGCGCTGGGGGCGGGAACAGAACGGGACCCCTTCAGGGAACCTGACACTGTGCACAAACCAGACGTCAT